TAAAGCACAGCCAATCTAACTGACTTGAAAACCAAAACTCGAATGTATTGAGATACTAGGTATTCATAAGGGTCTCATGGTATTTATAAGGGTATCATGGTATTGATAAGAATATCATGGTATTTATCAGGGTATTACGGTAGTATAAGCGTATCAAGGTATTGATTCACATTTAAATATAACTGCCGTTTGTTTAAATACACAAAACACTCACTATGAGACCGCTTTCAATGACCTCGTAACAGTTGAACGGTAATTCGGTATCGAGATCGGTCAGATCTTTCGAAAATCGGCTCAGAACTCGACCGAGCGGATAAATTTCGTAAAAAAACATCGGTTGTCGTAGGACGTTGAACAGTAGACCTTTGTGTATTTCGTTCGCGGCGTTTAGCGCCGCTATTGTCAAGTTTACCTCTGAAGAACAAACGAAAATTGCTACAAACGATGGTACTGTCAACAATTTTGATCGAACGACGAAAGAAAAAAAAATGGAAATTGCAAGCAGAAACAAAAAATAATCTAAATATTCGGTTGAGTTATACAATGCTGTTTTTAAGGATTGAGCATGCTAATGTATGTATGGTGGTTTTGGGTTTGTTGAGTTTATTTATTCTCAATATTTTGAGCCTATACTGACGTCGAGTAACCAAATTATTAAAATGAAAATAGAGGACAATCAGAAAATAACCAAAAAAACTATTATAAGTTTACGAAAAAACAACATATATAAATGGTTATCAAATGTAGACAACTACAGCATCAAAATTCCAAGGTGATAATAGGACATAATCTCCAAAACTGATTTGGTATTTCTTATAAGACACTAAACTCAAGATTGTCTTGGTACAATAAGACAAAAAGTTAGGGTCAACTCTAAGCCATCAGTCAAAGAAATGCCTGATGTAACAACCGTCAATATGGTGAAAGAAATTTGAATAATAAGGCACGTTACTGGTCTGTAAAATACTTTGGAGCAGGAAACCGACTTGAAGGAGAGGGTAACGGGTACACCTTGATAAGGTAAAATTTGAAAAATTACAAAACGTTAGTTGTTCAGAGTGAAATTCTATAAATATATTTTGGAGAATACTTTGTTGCATAAAGAATATTTTAACCGAAGAAAAATAACGTCTGGTTATTTTCTGATATTGTCCAATATAATAGAAATTAATGTTCAAAAATTGACACAATAAAATCTAAAAAGAGACGAAACAAAAATTTCACCAAACTTTTTAGGTTAATATGTTTTAAAACTAAAAAATATAGGTATCAAATTGTCTTCATTTTGTTGGTATAATTAGAATCGAAGTAGGAATTGTTTTGGAAGCACAAGTATGACGAAAAAAATTAACATTCAAAACTACACAAAACAACTACAAAAAAAGCTTAACAAATAAAAATGGAGACCTTCACTATAAGGATAAAGGAAGACAATCATAATCGAGATAATTATTAGTAAAAATGCGATTAAATAAAATTTATTTAGGTACGTTGTAAATTTATTTAAAATTATCTTAAGCATAATTTATATTATTGGATTTGTTCATTAGAATTTGATATATTGTGTATTTTTCAATCTTCTTCAAGACTTAAAATAGTCCAAAGAAAAGCATAAATTGTAACCAGATTATTTTAAAGTTTATAATTTGGCCACTAGATGGCGTAATCATAAAATCTCGTTTTTTTTAATACCAAACAAATTTAGAAAAATTAAATTAATCCACGTACAAACTACTTAACCCGATCGTAACCAAAATTCAAATATAACTGCATTTACCAAATAGGTACATTTTAAATCGTTTATAAAAGGTCCGTTCCAACAACGATAATCCTGTCATCAGTGACTCGTTTTTGATCGTTGTTGGAATACAGACCTTATAATAGAATAATTACTAACCGAATAGAAACAGTTCACCCAACCCCTCAACGTCATCGGCAAAACGTTATCCAATGTATCAACGTCCTTTCCGAATCTATTCAAAATCCTTCCCAAAGGAGTGACGTCGTAAAATGTCGTACAAGGCACTCTCAAAACGTTGCTAAGCATTAAATTGTGCATGAATTTTGCCGCATTTAAAGTTCCAATGTACAAGGACAACGAGGCGAATAATATCGTTAGAACTGCAACAAAAAACGCAACAACCATTATGCGATTGTGTATAAATTATTCCACTTTTATATTCAACCAAGGAATTCATCAAATTGAGACAAAAAGTTTTAGCAAATTTCAATTTATTAATATCGGGGAAGTAGATGAGCTAAGAGGGTACGGGCTCTTTTGTACCAAAAGTCAACGCGAGATTGCGCCACATGTCAGTGCTGATAACTGAAACTTAAATAAGTGGTTTACGCTCTTCGCTGACGTGAACATATATGACGTAAACAAAAATAAACGATGTAAATGAAAAAACAAAGCCAAAAGGGCACAGACTTGTATCTCCGTTATTATTGGTCCGAATCGAATTGGACAAACGTCATTTTACTGTCATTTCCAGTGAAAAAATGCTATTTGATTATGACTTTTTCAAGTCCTACAATGAATGAAATAATTTGTATTAACGATTAGCAGTAAATATGCAGAACATATTTACAATCAAATATCGGTAATTTTGACATACCAAATATAGTCAAACATACATTTTAGACAAAAAAAAATTAATTCAGTAAGTAATATTAAAAAACATTTAGGAGTTATTTGTATATTTAATTTTTTAAATATGTAGATTCCTTGATGCTGTTATTAAAATGGAATAAATTATTACTTATTTAAATCATAATAGTGTTTCAATGTGTATATAAAGTGAACGAAACGGTAACAAAGGAAAAAACAAAGCCAACAAAATTCACTGTGATGATATATATGATCTTAGTTAATATAAAGCTAAAACAATACAAAGCAAATTAAGCTGATGTATTCAAGAACTCAATGTATTCTCATGAGTAAATAAGAAATTAAATATTATGTAGAGTGTGATTCATTAAAAGCGATTACTTAGCAATTTAGAGAAAAAAATATTGTTTTTTTACACGAAATTGTCAAATAAACGGCTTTCAACCTGTGTAATGTGTGCTGTATTATTAATGCTAAATTAAATAATAATAAAAAAATATAAAATAAGTATATCAGTTGAAAGAACGATATTATTTGCTTGGATAATATACATACAAGCGAAATAATTTAGAATTGGGAAAATAAAATGTTTTAGACAAGACAAACATCACCATCAATGTTATTTTAGAAGTTAAATTGTTTATTAGAAATCAAGAAAAACACCATCAATGTTATTCTGGAAGTTAATTTGTTTATTAGAAATCAACCAGTAATTAGTAAAGATCTAAGAAATCAAACCACAGCAAAAACTTGTTGAATTTAATAAATTGCTGTAAACGAGAAATAAATTTCAATGTCAAGAGTTTTATATCGTAATCCTATATCAGTCATGATTTTGTATTAAAATAAATACCGAAAAACGCGCTTTGTCAAAAAACTAAAACACAAAAAGTGTTTTTGTGCCCAAATCTTCGGATTTAAGTCAACCGGGACTGCAACCGCGTTAATTTAAATTCGGACGAGTACGATTATAAATAAAAATTATTGACGCGATATTATTATTGCTTTTCGAGGTTGCTGGGTTTAAAATTATAAAAAGCGATGCTAAAAAGTATGTACAAGTTAGTAACCAAGCAAACTAAACCCTTAGTACAGCCAAAACTAAAAAAATTGGTTAATTAAAAGAAAATATAAATAATATATACATGCATGCTATTAATTCAAAATTGTTCTCAATATTTTTCGTAAAATTTAAATATTTTTATTATTTTATTGTTTAGAACCATATTTTACTTTTTTTTATTTGATTTTTTTTACATTTGATGAGTGTGTAATAATTGAGAAGCATCAACATCATTAATAAGAGTATTCATTCAATCTGTTTCTCAATTGTAGATACTTATCAAGCGTAATATAATATAATGTTATTATTAATTATTACATAAATTCTTATAATTTGATAGAAAATTAAATTGATTTTTCTCGGAATTCATTTATCATTTAAATTTTATTTATCGATATTACATTTTATTGGTTAATGGTTATTTATGATATCTTTGTGTTTTGTTAAGATTAATTGTTTGTGTCTGTTTAGTATTATTGAATTATACATTTTTTTTTATTAAATTTATTATTTTTAATAATTTTATAAAACAGATAATCACTTAATTTTGCCAATGATTCAAAAACTATAAAAAATTTAAACACCCTGTCTATAATGAATTTAAATACACATTTATTGATATAAATATCCTTTTATTAGTACCTAATTATAAGATGTAACAAAATAATCTTTTCATAATATATTAAAAAAAAATTCAAATCCCCAAAAAGTAAAATAAACCCCAAGAAAAATTTATTTCATTGAGTTCGTTTGTTTTTGCATCTTATTGAGAATAATTTCGAAGTTGTTAGGGAACAGACTTTTCTAGTGCTATATTCAAATATAGATTATTTAATAAAAGTAAAAATATTTTAAAACTATTAAATAGTAAATATAAAAACTATGAGTATTCTATTCATAACAACAAATTATATAATTTTCATGACTAATCTTACTTTTTACAACAATATAGTTAATACCCTTTGACTTTTTAATTCACCTCATATTGCGTAAATTAACTTCTATTCTATCTTTACTCATATTTTGCGTTTTAACCTTTACCGTTATTTTTCTAGCATACAATCTGTATATACAGTGTAAATATTTTAATTTTTAATCATTCAATGAAAGAAATGCGTGTCGAATTCAGAATATCCCTAAATTATTAATAAACCATAATTGTTTTTATTACAAACTGATTTTCGAACACCAACTTAAATTTAATGAGTTAAAATTACTTTCATTGACTGAGAAGAATTCTTTTAACACCAGAAAAGTCCAAACCAGACCCACTACTGAAATAGAAACCCATCATGCTACGAGCTTATAACAACAAAACCGACTTACCTTGTCCCAGTCCAAGAGCACCATAAACACCCAAATACATATCCCTTTTCGCCGCATTCACGGTACCATTGTAAGCAAGGCTGGTATCGTCAGCCCACACTCCTAACCAAACGTTCGACCCCACGCTGAAACCCTGATAAATCATATTGAATATCAGCGTCGACAGCATGAATATCATCCCGATAGATTTGAGATAGTGCTTGTAAACGGACCAACGAACGTTACCGGTTTCGGCCTTCTCCACCTCGATCAATTTTTCACCAGTTTGGAACATTTTTTTCGAATCTTCAACGGACTGTTTTCGGGTGCTCTTTTCTATGCTGTTTAATCGTTGGATCGAACCGTTGCCGAGGTGATCCGAACTGGTTTCAGAGAGCGATTCGGATGCGAGTCTGTGCCTGACCAATTTACGTTGGACTTCTTCTGCTAGAGGCGTATCGCTCAACTGGTCTTTGAGTTCGTCCAATTCTGGAAGAAAATATCGTGAAATGGGTTTGATTTGGCAATGATGTTGGAGGAGAAGAACAGGAACGGACTTTTTGAGTTAAATTTCACTGCAGACTGCCCGACATTAAGTTTTTTAATTACCAAGAAACAGGGTGATTTGCTATTTACTAAATTAAATATTTGTGCATTATTGCAACGTTCTACAATTCTGTTGTTCTATCTTCTACAAGATGCCCTAGTACACAGGCTAGAAAAACATTAAGATGAGCTAATGAGTTCTAGAAAAGAGAAGAAAAAATATCTAATTTTAACTTAAGGTGGAGACTAAGGAATTTCGGTTGTAGGATTATTTTTTGAACTATTTTAGACAATTTATATAATTCTCATGACTAACCCTATTTTTAACAACATTGTAGTTAACCCCTTTTGACTTTTTAATCAACCCCATATTATTTATATTCTATATTTACTCATACCTTTGCGTTCTAACCTCTGACGTTATTTTTCCCAATCTTCATCAGTTACTTATACTTTGTACGTAAGTTGAAAACATTTGAACACTTTTTTATTAATTTTAGAAAAAAAAGTTATTCTTCATAAAAAGTTGTGCATGATCTAAAATCTTAATTACAACCATCTGATATCAAATTTTATCAATCGTATACGAGGATTTTGAATCTTCGGTTTTAGACAATGCACAACTTTTTATGAAAAATATTTTTCTCTCCTAAAATGAATAAAAGAGTTTCTCATATGCCGCTAACTTACGCAGATTGTTTAAATTTTTAAAGTCCGTTCCTGATACAATTCTGATTTATTTTGGTCTAATTTTTATTTTTAAAACCATTAAATAAATCACTAATATCATTGTAAAATTCTTCAACAAGAAAAAAACTAATATATAAAACACACAACAAATAAAATCACACAAATAAGAGTCTAAAATGAGATGAAAAAATACGAATCTTTACTGATTTTAAAAATAGTAATAAATGGAATTTTAATAGTAAAGTAAAAAGAAAAATATTGAGATCGAGGTAAAATATGATAAAAAGAAAATAAAAATATGATGGCATGTCTTTCATGAAACTACAAAGTACGAATGATGAAGTGAACGAAAACAACACTAAAATGGACGATACACAAAAAATACGTTGAAAAGAAAATATCAATCAAACACTATCTACGCATTAATTACAAGATGCAAACGACATACCATCGGTTATTATGTCAGAACCTATAAAATCGAAAAAAAAAAACACATTATTCAATAATTATAAATTAAATAGAATTAAAATATTCAGTACAGTATTTTTCATATTTAATATTCATATTAAAACAAGGTGTAAATTTATTATTTGTTAAAATATAAATATTTTGCTTCCATTTAAAATCCGACAATTGATTTCAAATTTTACTTTTTAAGGTCTTCAGGAAAATGAAAATTAGGTATCTAATAAATTAATTGTTCCGTAAACCAATTGTCACCTCATATGCCCAATATAAGCATATTTTCAAACCCATTAACAAATTAAAAAAAAATGTTCCTACCTTCTTCGGTTTCTATTTCCTCCGTGATGTGCTGCAACAAAAAGTCTGAGAAAGCTCCCTTCCTATCCATCAATTCTTGGTAAGTACCCGTTTCGGATATTTGACCGTTCTTCAGTACAATTATTTTATCGGTTTGCGATAAATAACCAATGCCGTGCGTTACCAAAGCTCTCGTTTTGTTCTTCAACAGACCCGTCGGTCCTATGACCTTTTCGAAAATGTGTTTGCCTACATGGCTATCGACGGCACTGAGAGGATCGTCCAAGAAGTAGATGTCGGCGTTCGAATAGACCGCTCTGGCTAAGCTGACTCGTTGTTTTTGTCCACCAGACAAGTTGATACCTGCCAAATTTAATGTACATAAGAATTGAAAATGATAGAAGGACGACCAATTATTGTCTTCGGAATATGTAATTGTTTAATTATGCAAAAAAAAAACAAAGGTTTGGCATTCGTATAGCAAAAATAAGTAAGTAAGTAAGAACTTTGAGACGTATTGTTACTACAGCACAGGGCAGCGGATATTGGGGTTGGAAATAAATCAAATGAAGACAAAATACATGACAAATCCAAAAAAGAAGTTGTCAACGGTAAAAAGTTCAAAGTAACCACTAGATGAACAAATCAATATTTAGTATTGTTCAGAAGTGAAATATGAACAAATAAAAATTGTCATGTAATAGTTTCATTTATGAGATAAAGTGTGATGATATCTACCAAGATATTATCGATGCTCATATCGAAAAATTTGATACCTCATTATGATCATAATATGTGGATGATTAAAAAATCAAAGGGGGTTAAATACAATGATGTTAAAAATAGTAAAAAATTTACAAAGAAACAAGTGAACGATATTTGAAAGAATAAAGGAATTATAAGAATTATTCAACGAACCAGACACTGTGTGCACAATTGAGGGACACAGACTAAGGAGATTGAAACGGATTGAACGCATGAACAATGAAAGAATACCTAAATGCCAATGGAATTTGACATAGAAAAAAAAAAGAAAATAAGGCGGGCCGAATATAAGATAAATGCAGGAGGTGCTAAAAGATGTAGTCTTTGTAGATCAACAACTAGAGTAAGAAAGCAAAAGACAGGAGAAAATTAACCTATCAAGGCTTGGAGAGCTAATATTTATATGACAAAAAAGTAATATGAATCGTCCCTGCCCGTAATCATATAAACATTTAAAAAGTTAAATAGCAACATTGAAAAAATGGTCAGAAATTAAATACAAGTTATACGAACCTTTTTCTCCAATTTCGGTCTGGTCTCCAGCCGGTAACATGTCCAGATCGGGTTTGAGAGCGCAAGCTTCGACTACATCATTGTACAAAGCCTTATCGTACGATTTACCAAATAGAATATTATCCCGAAGCGTGGCGTTCTGTATCCAAGCCTGTTGAGAAACGTACGCTACTTGTCCGTACGAATTAACCCTTCCAGATATTTTATCCATTTCTCCCAAGAACGCCGATACCAAGCTGGATTTACCCGAACCGACTGTACCGACCACGGCCGTTAACGTTTTCTTTTTCAAGTTGATGTTGATGTTCTTGAGAATCGGGTCGCCTCCCCATGAGAATGTTCCGTTTTCGATTATAAGTGGCGAATCTGTCCAAGAGAAAAATACATAATGTAAATCAAATTTGCCGAATCTATATTGTAAAAAGATAATAATTGGCAGTAATAATATGTCTGGAATTTGTGAAGAATTTTGACCGATTCAAGTATAGTTAGATTCTTACCTTCAGAAGGCTCATGATGTACGTTGTCAGGATCTAGTTCTTCAGCGTTCATGAATCTGTTTATCCTTTTTACTGACACCCATGTCTATTTATAGATAAATTTATTAATAACTAATTGTGGATGCGTTCGAGCCACTTCAAATTACGCAATTTTCCTTGCTTGCAAATAAATCCTCATAAACTAATCTGAGAGGGTATTGAACTTTTTACAATGATTTAGAAACATTTTCAATGAATTGCAAAGAGCATAAGAGCCATTTTCAACCAGTCCGGTCGCTGCCTTATTTAGGCCTTTTACCATCTCCATTTTTTCGTTACCAATAATATTCGATGAAACTCTTATGATGCGTCCATGTTTCGTCATCGACGGTCGAAGCCAGCGTTCAGTCTACTAGTGATATTCTAGAACATTCTGGACCGCAGCATATGTGTGTGAACAGCCTGAGTTTCTCGTTAATGGATTAATTGGTGCAGATGGGGTTTTTTATAAAATGAATGGGTGTCTTAGTGGAAATGAAATGAATGACAAGCTGTTTAAATAAATTCACAATACAAAGAGCAATTTCTCTTTCACTTAATAGGAATAGCAGCAAGGAAAATTGATAAATATAAAGTGGCACTTAAAAAATAAACCGTCACCTCAAAACTATATGATTAGAAAATATTTTTTTACTGCCTTTAATGGAATTTTGATTAATTTTTTTTAAGTATAATATTTTCTAATTCGTCTATATATATTTAACCTTTTATTTAACATTCAGTTGCAAAATTATCATAAAAATAGGCAATAAAACAGATTGAAACTGAATGTTTTATCTATAACCGAATAAGTTATTATGAAGCAGAAAAGAAAGAAAATGAATTGGTTAATTAAAGCAAATACATTTTTACTAAATTTTAAAATTATTGAACCACTTTTATATATTAATTTAAAAAAAAAATAAACTTAACAGAGAAACCCGAATCTTTAGATAAGTAAAAAATGCTTTTGCAACATGACATCGACATTATAAAACAGAAATCCTTACTTGCACTAAATTTGATATCATCATGGGTAACATGCTCAGCGGAAATCTTATGATATTGAAGAGAGAGATAGAAACATAGGCTTTATTCGCATCTAATACATGTTTATCATCCACCAAGACGTAGGTAGCGAAAGTGACTAGCGATACCTGAGAAATTGTTAAAATAATAAGTAGAATAAATAAGTCGAAAGCAACACCACCTATTATAATTTGGACTTAAAGTATTATAGTTTCAAACTAGGGTTTTAATATAAAAATTAGATGATGCACTTGTTTAATTGTATGGAAACTTGGACTTCAAAAGGTCTTATAACTTTGTTTACATAATGATCCAGCAACTCAAAATAAGGTACCAAGACATAGTAGATATTTAGACACTTGACTCTACTTTCATCGATTTTTCCACACATCTGGGGAAATTTTTAGATTAGATTTGACAACACCGCATCGCCTGATAATTACCCAGAAACTTGACAGAAACGGCGATCGATTAAAATCACTGTTTCGCGACTTTTCAAATGTATGACGTGTTATTTTGTTATCTGTCTAAGAGAATTATCACCATTGAATAATGCAGAGCGGTGTTACCAGATCAGCTCCCCATATTTCCCCAGATGTAAGGAAAAATTGATAAAAGTGTCTTACTATATTCTGGCCGTCAATGTTGTCCTCTGTCTCATAAAATTAAACAAAATCGATTTTAAAATCACCAATGAATCATAGTAAAGAATTAATAATTTTACTGAAGATTGTTAACATGCTCTTCTTTTCGTCAAATATTCTTTACCTCGATAATAAAAACCACTAGCAATGGTAGAAGAGCCATGGGTAATCCCATTATTGAAAACAATGCTATCGATTTGAATATTTTCTCCGGTGACAGAGTATTATTTATCGGATCGCTGAAGACGTAGGTCACGAATGTAAGTAACGTTACCTAAATTAATGCGTAAACAAAAATAAAATAATATGATTTTCGAATGTTTTTAGTTTCAATTCTTAATGAGACACAAGCTAAAGGTATAAGACATCTTCATAAATGTAAATGATCAGCTGCAAGAAAGGTCATTAAAGTTTATGGTCTAATAGATGCTTAGACTAAGTAATTTAAATTTCTTTTCATTCAGACAAATCACATTTCAAGAAATGTTAAAATGTATGGGGCATCAAGCATTTTCGGATATATTTAATAAGCAAAAATTGTTTATTTATGCCACCTCTAAAAGGTATGAATCACTTTGAACAAAAAAAAAATGAAATATATATAACAGACCAAAAAAAAAGTTGTAAAAAGTAGAACGATTACAGTTCATCAAATTTCTAGAGGTGTTCGACGCCCAGACAGAGAACGCGCTACGTGTGACTAAGATAGCTATTGTACAGTCTGCTAAACAAGTTATTTTAAATAGTTTTTAATATTTTTAGGTAATTAAATTTTAAGTGTGGAATAGTTTAGGGATTAAATTGGTCTGACTGGACTTTCTTAGAACGTTTTTAAAAGCAGCTAAAGATAGTATGTAGAATTGAAAATAATTATTATGCCATAAAAGGTGTTTTGGAATTCCTTCAACCTTTTGAAATTGAGTCAGAAAATATAAATTTTATAGGATAGCGGAAAATACCTATAATTTTTTTGTAGGCCTTTGTAAATCGTGGAAATAGTTTATATTTTATTTCTACCTTATTAAGGAAAATGGTACCCATTATTAATAACGGTTGTCTCTGAAACATTACTAAAATTTTCAAAATTTTGTTTTTCTACAAAATAATAAACTATACTATTTAGAAAAAAATTTATTTCTCTTATAATTTTATAAAAAATAACAGGGGAATATTTACATTTCTTGATCTATTAAACAAAACGATAAATTATCTCGACGAATGACACCATGTTCTAGTACGGAAGCTAGCTTTACATTTTTGTTGGTGGTTTCATGGGTTTCATATCAATTTTTTGTAATTGTAGTTTACACGTACATATACCTCTTAACACTTGTTTGCTTTATTAAAAAAGTGTGTTGTTGTGATTTACGTCGAAATAAGTCAAAAACAACTTGAAACCCCATATAAAATCAAAAAGGAGAAACGGAAAAAAATTGAGCCTGTAAATGAACACAACTCAGAAACAAAAATAAGCTAATAATAAAAAAATAAAATTTGATTCTTGTGTAGCTTCATCTATATTATTAACTGTTTTTGGTTTTTTAATGGTTTTTCTTGGTGATGAAAATTCCGATATCTCACGGTTATCGATTCTTTTTTTCTCTCCAGAAATGCGGACGACAGTGTTTTTAGATACTCCTGTGGCTGCAGCAACACGATCATTTACATTTTTAAATGGTATTGAAGGTGAATTAAAGTTTCCTTCTCTTCTCATAAACTCTATAACATTGGCTATTATTTCGCGAGATTGACTGTTAATCACGCGGCCTCTTAATTTGCTATTAAACTCCATACTTAGGTTCTATTAAACTGTAATGAGCAAAAAACACAAACGAAAATAAAAGAAATGTTTTAGCGAAATTTACATCTGACATTTACGTCTGAATGAAATAGTGAAATACTTGATGCGCAGAGTGTACTTTCATTGCGTAAATCCGTCGGGATGCCTGTCAGTAGTGCTTTCTCTGTCTAGCCGTCGAAAGCCTCTAGAAATTTGATGAACTGTAAAATGAACACTAGAATAGAAAAAAATCTATAGCTTTAAAAAGTTGGGTCATTTACTTATTTAAGAACTTAGAATTACTGAAAGAAACAATGTATATATTCACTTAAGAATTTGCTATCCAGAAGAACAAACTCAGAATATACAAATCAATATTTAGACCCAAAAAGTATTGTTTGGCAGTGAAACTCGAACAATGGATAAATTATACAATATACAATTTAACAAATAAAAATTATACATACAGTTTCATCTATGAGATAAAGTGCTCATATCAAAAAAAAAATATGTCTTATTATGATTGTATTATGGGGTTGATTAAAAAGTCAAAGGGGGTTAAATACAATGTAAAAAAGAAAGTGCCTGCGAAACATTTACAGAAAAAAAAAAGAACCATGTATACGAAAGAAGAATCACACGAATTATTTTCAACAAACTAGACATTGTATGCACAATTGAGGAAGAAGATTGGAACATATTGAACGCATGAAAAGTGAAAGAATACCTAAAAGGCATAGGAGAAAAAAGAAAACGAGGCAGATATAAAATTAGACAGATAATGCTAAAAGATTAGTCTTTGAAGATCAACAACTAGAAAGACAGGAAAAAGTTAAACTATTGGGTTAGGGGCCTGTTAGGCCTACAGAGCTAATGTTTCATTTAAATTTTTCTAAAAAAGCCACTTTAAATTATAAATATTCAAAAATAGTTACGAATCGACGTAACACATTTTACAACCTTTTACAAGATTATGGCTAAATAATTATTCATTCTAACTTCGTTTCTACGAAGTATACAGTGACAACCGGAATCATGGAAATCCAATTAAATCTAAAAATGTCAAAATAAACGGTTCAAATATGATTTTTTGGGACGTCCCAGAGAGTCAAATATATTTTTACATGATAGCTCTACATTTTGTAAATCATGGATATAAAACTCGATACCTATAGAGAAAATAAAAATGTCTATTACCTTAGAAATAAAATTAAAAATTTAAAAATGAATAACTTACCAAAAACGGTGCGCAAGACCAAATAAAAGAAGTACCGGCATTCAAATAAGCGGCCTGCTTCAAAACCTTAATCTCCTTATTCCTGATCTTCAACACCTGCTCCTCGAAGCTGTGCTCCCAAGCATACAGCTTTAACACCTTTATTCCGTTCAAAATTTCATTCATCAATTTAACTCGTTCGTCCTTGTTCTTCATCTGCTTCACTTGCAGCGTTTTCACCCTGTTTGCTATGAAACCATTGATCGGAATCAAAATGATCAGCAACGTTAAACCAGCTAGCACCGAAGGTCCCAGTTCTTGCCAAAGGAAATACAGAGAGAGACAAATCTGTAGAGGCGCCGACCAGATCAAGTTCAAATAACCCACCAGGTCCATGAATTTTTGCGCGTCGACGGCCATGAGATTCACGATTTCACCGACGGTGCTCTCTTTTCGAGCGCTGTTCGATATCTTCAGAGCTTTCCTGTATATGGTCAATACGAGTACTGTACGAATTCTCATACCGACGATGTACATCCTGTTGAAATATTGCGAGAGAAATAGCGTTTGGACCATTGCCGTAACAAGCAGTAAGATGGCGTAAAAGTAACCCTTCCATAACGGTTCGTCGTGTTTGACATAAGAAATTAGTAATCTGAAAAATGATGCGATTCAAATAGTGACTCGAAAAAATAATATATACAGCTTGTAACCGTTTTTAGCTGTTATCCTGAGCTATTGATCGAAAAAAATAAAAAATAAAAATGCAACACAAAATGTATATAAATATATAATAAAAAATATGTAAATAAGTATCATTTGTAGTATATTAAATGTAAAAAATAAGTAATAAAGGAAGTAAAAAAAACTAAAAATCGTTTAATTATCAAAATATCTCCAGAATTGACGTTAGATTTTTTACAATTATAACCTGTATATAAAAAAAATGTTCCTGTAAAAGACTTACCCCAAAATCTGCGGGCTGACGAACGTCAGAAGGTCCTGGAACAATTTGAGGAGAGCTCCGAACAGGAAAACGGATCCGAAACATTTGACGAGCGGCAGCAGAACGGACGCTTCCTTCTTCTTTTTGCTACTAACAAAAGCCACACTACCTGAGTCAGATTTAAATTTCGCTTCGGCGACTTGATTAGGAGGCGCGCTGTAATCATTCAATAACGTTTTTTGTCAGAATAACACAAAGAAAATTTACCTATAGATCGGACAAGCTCTAGAAAAACTACGAAGCGAATATATACAGCTAGACTATGTGTTGATAGTTTCACTACACAACCAGAGTACTTAGTAAATAATAGACCACAAACAGTAGGATCAGTTGCTCTTCAGCTTGTCATAGAAGTAGTAATAATAACAACAATTTACTGTAAATTAATAGCGACATTTTTCTTCACACTTTTTTCATTAGTAAACAACCATTCGTAGCCATATAATATGTCAATATCCTTATTTACTGTAATTAGTACTGCAACAATATATAGTGCTTAAGCTAACTAAGGAAAACACAACAACCAACTACCAGCCAAGCCAAGCATTATAAAGCAAAATATAAAAATTATAATAATAAATACCTTTCACATTTAGCCAAAGTTTCCTGCCAAGCTTTCTCGAACACCGGTACCAATTCTCGTGAACTGTCTTCAATGTTAATGTCCCACAAATCTTTGGTTTCTAAAGATTTTCTGAACCCTTTCCATGCCAAAGGATCGAACCAACTGAATAGCAAACGCGACAAAAAACTGGCGCCTTCTTCAGGACATGGATGCTACCAAAACAGAACATTTATACTACTACTTTGTTCATTTTGATCATGTAAAAGCATAAACTGATGAAAACCAAAAAGACATTTTATTTTAATTGTCTATATTGCAACAGTTCAGATCACAACCTGATAGAACATGTTTGACACACACTAAAAATAGTTAGGGATTTGCCATATAAATAAAGATATAATACTCTTACAATGCCTCAACACTATTCTTGTATGTTTGAAAGATCTTTTTCATATAAAGCTGCTAAATTACATAATAGGTTTTACCACTTAAATTGGAATGCCTCTCTAAATATTTTTAAGCTAAACATAAAAGAAAACCTACTCAGTACTCAAAAATATTATTGTTTTCCTTCTCTTTGATTATATTATAAATGTTTTTGTTTAAAGAATGTTGTTTTCTTCTGATTGGTTTTTAATATATTTTGAATATGTATTTATATTTAGACTGTTACCAAATAAAGTTAATCTTCACCTTCTTTGGGTAAATGTTGTACATTTGTCAAATAAAGACATAATAAATAAATAAATGTATAGTTATCAAAACAGTGTGCAACATTATATCAGCGATACTGCAGCTGCTCTATTTACCAGATTTTGTCACATGTGATTTTTTAAACCAGCAGAAGGTATTCAAAAAACAGTAAGGAAAGTCTTGAGTAACTAACTAATTTTATATTTTACCTTAGATTGTGGATATTTCCTTTCTTTCGGTGCTTGATCAGCCAGACAATTGAGTATGAACATCAGACACACCAGGGGGTAATAAATTAAGTAGCTGGTATAAAAATAATAATGCTCCGGCGGAATATCATTGTTCTGACCTCTCCTAATTTCTGTACGAAATTGTGGTATGCCGCATAATGCTAAAAAGAACCAAAACAGGAACAGCAAACCAGATGTTTGCATTCCATACTTCCGGTTGAAATACACCAAGCCGCCAGAGAGAAGCTGAAAAACAAATGGTCATTGTTAACAAAGAAATATTATGCACCCATCATTCAGGAAAATATGAAACGTAGGAACAAGAGATGCTGAATAACTTGATGGCCATTTTACCAAAGTGATCTAATGTTAGAGCATTTCATATACAAAGTACAAAAAAATTTATATGTATACTTACAAATGTAAAAATTTTGATTAAAGGTGAGTAAATATCGACGTCAAATACCACACTTTCATTCGCAGATGCTGTTTTAAACGACGTGACAACATCACTAATTGTTAAAACTATAAGAGTTGCTGTAATTCCTAATTTTAATAAATTCAGCCAATTCCAAGGTATGTTCCATCTTTTACTACTTAACATATAGTATACTTCTAAACCAGTGAATATCCACAAAAATATACATGGAATCCATACCATAAAAGTTTTTTCAAAACAAGGAGTAAATTCTGGATTGGAGACGTTCCATGACAAATATACATCCTGAAAAGTAAATGAAATTATTCAAAATCAAATTTTATTACAGTTTTAAATAATTTATTACCCAAAAAGGGGATCCACAAAATTTATTAAGAGCTGCAAATTGTTCTGGTTCAGACGGATTAGTTTCAATTGTACTATTTACAAGTAAATTCGTTAAGTTACTCTCTAATCCAAGTAAATTTGTTATAGCTTCCTCTGGTTTAATTGTGGTTAATAATTCAGTTGAATTTTCCATCTTACATTAAGTACTATGAAACTATATTGTTACAGCAAAGCTGAAAGAAAAATAATGAACAAAAATGTAATAAAATACTTGAAAAATATAAATTATATTTTTAAATATTTATAAAAAACCTCGTTGGAAATACATAAAAACGCGATCCTAAATAATTCTCGTAACTGCAAAGTCGCGTAAATAAACCAAAGAATTTGAACTAGAGTTTAGAGATGGTTTAGTCTCAGAACCATTTATGCCTCAATAGAAAATTATCCCATGAAAATGGCAAACCAATAAAATTTAAACATGATGTAATAACTGCAATTCTAGGTTTGTTTTGGATCAAACTCAAATAAAAAACAGTAACTTTAATTCTAGTTCTTAATATTGAACTATTTCTGAACTATTTAAATTCTGAAAAATGGCTAGAAGTTTATGATGCATATTTGGTGAAAGATAAATATAATGCTTTTATTACAATCTTTAGTTCATATTACAATATATGTTTTAAATCCAAACCTCAAATGAAGAATAAAAGGCAGGGCTCTTATTGGGTTTCTCCCACAATTACTAAGGCAAAAAATAGACTGCTGTTTTTGCATGAATGGCAAATATTGGCTGATGATACTTCTTTTTGTATTAATACTAAAAGAGGATCAGATCATGATCAAGTTTACTCTGATGTCATAATTCAGGCAAAGAGGTGGTTTTCTGTAAATGACCTGTTTTTAATGACACAAAAACTATCTCCCAATTATTTACAGTAAATAGTGAACAAGTTAATGACAATTCTGTTAAAATACTTGGCATTCAAATTGATCCACATCTCAGATGGACAGATCATATTGAAGCACTTTGTTCCAAATTATCACGAGCAGTTTTTGCTATCAGGAAAATATGCCAAATATGTGGTCAAGATGCAGCAATTACTGCTTACTATGCTCTATTTCATAGTCATTTGACATACAGGACAATATGTTGGGGCAATGCTGCTGACACACATATCTCAAGAGTCTTCATTTTGCAAAAATCAGCCATAACACATGCTTCTTGGCAAGCCAGTTGCAGACCAGTATTCCCAGAACTTAAAATTATGACACTCTATGCAGTAATAATCTATCAAAACCTTCTATTCGTAAGAAATAATATTAACACATTTTTTTCCCACTCAGATATCCATAACTATAATACAAGGCACAAAGATAACTTAGTCCCTATCCAGTATAGACTGGAAAGGACAAAGAAATATTATATTGAGCTATACATAAATATAAACATGCATTAAAACAAATATTATCCAATAATTGCCTATATAGCTTGGAGGAATTTAAATTAATACAGATGGAGGATGGAGGCTGTCACTGTGGCCTCTGAGTGATTCAGTGAACTATGTTGTAAATGTTTGTAAATTTCAATTTTATATTATTATATTTAGGTAAATTTTATTATATATTTAGTTTTAATTGTAATTTGACAAGCCATAAAATGTAATATTTTCTCAGGTAAATAAAGATATTGTATTGTAATACAGTTGATGAATTATTTTTTAAAGAACTGCCCACTAGATTAGTATAACCTATAGGTATTGACTGATCAAGTGAAATTTACTGACTCTGAAGTAGTTTCTGAAAATCCAAGCGGCTGTATAGAATTAAATGAATTTTCATTTTACTAATATCAAATTATATTGCATATTTTCATTAAACTTAGAAATAATATATTGTTGATAGATCATCAGATTGGTAACTGTAGATCTACCCATAGTAAAACCATGTTATATTAATCGAGATATTAATGATATTACTGCAATACCAATACAAAGAGCTCTAAAAAGTTTTGATATGATTGACAACATACTAATGGGCTTGTAATTCTATATATCATACCTATCAGAACAAAAAACTTGACTTCCATAATGTAGGTAAGTATTCTAATGATTTAGTGTAAGTACCTATGAATAGCTTCAAAAATAATGTTTCTATAAAATGCCTTTAAATAAAATACTAAAAAATATTTGTTTAATACACACCAAATAATAGTTTAAATTAATTTAACATGAAGTAATGAGATATATAGAAATTCAATTAACCTTACAAAATTTCTTAAAATTAGTAATATTCTATGCACTGCAAAATATGTTCTTTTCATCATTTCATAACTAACTATAGGGCCATCTAGCAGCCTTTATGTAGGCTAAATTACATATATGGTAGTTAAATATCCTAATATTGATGTTTCGGAGAAATTTATCATATCAATTCTGTGTCAATAGATAATAAACTGATATTCATCCATTTAAACACCCCATGTTAGCATCCCTTTTAGGCAATATAAGTAGGAAAGTAGGTAGTTATTATACAAAAAAAATTACATACCTATGTGAATGAAACCCTATTTATTAATAACATTTTAAAACAATCTTCCTTATTCCTTGCCAGTTAAGTATTTTAGATAAAAATAGTGTGCTCTTTATTTATAACACTTATTCACAGTTAATATTGATTAATAAATAAAATAAATAAGTAAGTAATCTTTCAGATGACCCTGATCGATTTTTATCAGCGTGTAAAATAAAATAAGTTTTGATTTGGACAGGAACAAAAGCTAAATAACCTATTTTTTTTATCAAATAATGGTCTGAAATATTTTTATTATAAGGGATTTAAATAAGTCTTTAAAGCATATTTTTGCTCACCTTTTTTTTTTAATTTTCATTCACAAGTAGAAAGAAAAAAGCACTGATTTCAACACAAAACTTATAATAATACTGATCTCCTGGCCTGTTCCTGTCAGTCACTATATCAGGTGCGAATCACTAAAACGTGTGCTGCTTAATTTACAGATTTACAATAAACTATAGGAAGACATTGTTGATAAACCTGTAATTCTCAGTATTTGTGTGGGCATTAACTAACTGTAAAGTGACCTGGCCTGAGGCTAAGAGAAATAATGAGCATTAGCTAAAGTCATAAAAGCTGTACCTCACACCCGAACCGGACCTGCAAATTTTAAAGAGAAAAAATGATTAAGAAAAGTCAAAATCGCTATATTCTCTTCTTCTTCTTCTTCTTCTATTCAACGGCCTCGAAAAGCGAATATTTCTTAAGTTTTCATTAAACAAACTTGGCAATGATCATTATATTGAATGAAATAATTTGTGATAATTAAGAGGATTTTAATTTAAATTAACATATTTTTAAATAGTGTAAGCGCAAATAGAGAATTGTACCTATTTACACATATCAATTTGATGGCTGGCAACACTGTAAACAACATATTAACCGTTTTAATTTATTAGAATAAAATATATGGTGTTCATACAACATCGAGCGTGAACGTGTGTTTGTATTGAAGATTGTATTTATTTTATATACATATATTTAGCTTTTTATTAAATAATTAATCTTCAAATCGATAATCAATTTTATATAGGGTTAGGTTAACGTTATATAAAAAGAAGAGTGACAAGTGACGTACAACTGACAGTGACAGTGTTTTTAATTTTAATAGTAAAAAATTCAAAATACAAAATAACAAATAGAAATATTATTAACTCAAATATAAAAAGTCCTTTGATTTAAAAAAGAGACATGTCCAAACCTATATTTCTGGACGTTGATTCCAGTATTGTTGAACAAAACCTTCTAATCAAGGTAAGATATTCATTCTGTAACTACATAAAAATGTAAAGTGTACAAGGTTCTAGTTTTTATTATATTCCAGAAGGATTCAGAGGAAGACGAATTAAACAAATTATTTGAGCAGAGAAATTATCCGTCCAAATTAATAAAGCCAACTCCAGGTAAGACAATATTATAATTACGTTATTATAGGAAGAGTGCCTACCTTGTAAACTAGTTGGTTATATCTATCAAAAAAATACTATTTTTGTATGTTTTACCATAGCGATGAGGTTTTATATATATTGTAGCAACAAAATACAAAATAATTTTAATTTCACTTACACTCAACAGGAATAAAATGCAAAATGCAACTATTGATTGCGAAAACATAACCTTTAAAAAATTCAGTAGTACAAAAATAACATATAATTCTATACAATTATATGTAATTTGTCAAGCACAATCAATAATAATATATACCTGGTGGTACCTGATTTTAAATGTTTTACTTATGGCAAAAAATTAAATGCATAGATAATTTTCATGGGCACTCATTACAGTAAATTGTTGACAATAATTGTTAATATATTACTGTTTTGTAATATTATGGTTATTTTTCATTAAGCAATTATATCTATTTTTTTTTTATTTAGTCTAAATAGTAAATATTAAATGATTACTTAATTATAATTCACAATGAGTCGTCAATGACTTAGGTAATTCAAAGGAATTTTTAAAGTATAAGCCAGTGCATGTTCAAAAGTGTTATATAATGATGATAACCTACCAGACTGTATGTGAAAAAATATACCTGCTTTTTAAATTGGTTTTCTATTTATATTACAAACTGGTTTTTTAGTTTAATTCTTGGAATACATTATTACTGCATTTATATTTTAAGAATTAAAATGTATAAATCTGTATTCCCCTAGAGTGTTTTAATTAAAAAATATTACATAAGGTTGTAAATACTGAAGTTTTTAAATATAAGGCATGCATTAAAGTACACATACAATTAAGTAGGATGCTAAAGCTATAAACTTGAACTTGGAATTGAAAATCTTTTTTATTGGGTTTTATGACAAATTTTAAAATCGATTGCAATATGTATTACTTTGTTTTTTGCAATGATATCAAAGGTTGTTACTAAAATTTGATTCACAGTATCTAATAATAAACAAAATCAATAAAATTTTGCTGGTCATTGTCATTACTAAGCTATGTTACAAACATTTTAATCAATTTAAATTGCTACTTAAATGTTTCTTTATTGTTTTTAATCAGGAAGAGTTAAAAGAATGCATGCATAGCTTTTCTATTGCTGTATTATCTTGGTAGACTAATCTAATTTAAATATGGAGGAGTAAATGTATTTTAATAATTTCAATAATGTATAATGCCTTACAACCGTTATTTTTATTAAAATAATATTTTTAAAAATAGATTGTATATTTTTAAAGTCATTGAAGAAACATATTCAAAAGAATCAATCCTTATTTTATGCATTGTAATGCAATAAAAATTATGACCCTAACATTAAATTAATTAATTCTAAAATAAATTATCTAAACGATCATCAATTATTTATTTTTGGTTATAATGGCATTTATTTTTATAAGTAGGTATAATAATTTCTTATTGTGAGGTCTATAGAACAATACATAGTATTTGCATGAGTTAAATAATTATGAAAAACATTTGATTTTTGTGCTATAAAATATGTAGAGTAACTAAAATAAATATATCTATCTAATCTTCAATTGTTTGATAACAGTTATACAAGAAAATTATAAGGGTATTCTGACAACTTTATGTGTTCACAACCAATTGACATCCCATGTCCTGCAGAAAATGACCATCGAACTCTACACATATCACTTTTGAACTTAAAAAAATAGAAACAATTATTGATCACTATAATAAATTTTACTTGGACTGTAATATATTTAATTGTAATATTTTAGCACTAAAAAGAGGCTTGCAATTTAAGTTTTACTTGTATCGTCCAGAGGCGTTGTAATTTTTTTTTAATGTTTTATATTTTTTAACTCATTACAGTTTTTTGTGTTAGGGTAGATATATTGAAATATTTAGAAATTATATTCTGTAAGTTCTGCATAAATAAACAATATAAAAGCTATCAATTATTAAATTTGGTCCAGGAAATCTGGAGTTCTGCGTATTTTTTTTTTTTTAATAATGTTTAATGTGTCCCCAACACTTTATTTCATATCTGACAGATATGAGGACATGTTCATTCAGAAAACTCTTTAGATTTTATTGATATTTTCAATGGCATTAATTATTATGCATTTTTGCGACAAAACTTTGATATTTAAGAATTTAATTACGCCCTCTAGCAGTGGACCTAGAAAGCTAAACATAGTTTTTTCAAAGATGTACTATTTTTATTGAAAGAAAGCAGATGGGCCACTAAACTTGTTTAGATTCAAGAATACATCCAATTTTATATCAGAAAAGATGAAAACATTTCTTAATATGCTTTCTTTCATTAACATAACGTGCTTTCGGAAACTAATAAAATTAATTCGTAATAATTATCAAGATTTGACGTCACTAGACAATTTTGACAAGTTTTTATGCTAAATAAAAAATGCCTGAACGGCAAATATTCTTAGTTCAGAGTCATACAAGTATTTTGGGAGCAATCAAACTTCTTTTAAATAATAGTTCAATCATTCAACCTTCTATTCACTTCAGTTTTACTAAAAAAAAAAATTGAAATATTATAATTTATGGCGAATGGGGTAGAACTACTGAATGAAGGGTAACACTCTTAGTTGATAATCATACAAACATTTTGATATTGTGACGATAGTCTAATTTATTCTTAGTTTATTTATTTAAAAACACACTATTTACAATTTATTTCAGTCGTACTATTTAATTTATAAAATACTTAGACACTAACTAACAATTCTAATTTATTTCTTACATTTTAACTTTTCATTACAATGTTCTATATTCAACTAAAGTGGGCGCCGATACGTCGGCTATTTATATTAATCCAACTCCGCTACTGGAAGACACTAGAGGCTCTCGAACATTCCATTTCTATGACTAAACGGCACTCTCCGCTGTTTCAGCTGTTTCTAGTGCGTCAGCGGCAGGCATGCCTAAACGTTCCGTCGCCTCGAGCACGAGTCGGTTTCCATCTGAAGGTCGAGCGTACACAGGGTAGGCTTTAAAAATTTCATCACAATATCAATCAAATCATTTTTCGACTTTTGGTTCCGATTTTACACTTATTTCAGGTTAACTTTTTTTGCATATCAACCACTGAACTATACCGGTACATTTACAGTTCAGTGATATCAACCCTTTCACCAACCCAAAAAAAAATGCTTGCAATATCATCTTAGATTCAGAAAAAAACGCGTTTAAGCTATATTCCGATATCCGGTCACATGGCCAAAATCCCTACACCAGAAGTAGAGATACCGGACGCCAGAAAATGCTTGCATATGATTTTTTTTATTATTAAAGAAGCCTAGAAGAATATATTTCGTTGACTGCAACAAACGAACAATCCACAGAGTATAGTGTACTTTATTTTTGCAATCTTTATTTAGTGCAAATAAAGAAGTTTATTGTTAATATCTAAAAGCAACTTTACTTTGAATTTGTCAGGCCACACGGCAGCTCCCACTACCGGCACACAGTACTTGTTGTTCACCATCCTCCCCTGTATCCAACTTCAAAAATAGCAAGCAAAAACTGAATTCAAACTCAAATATTACAAAATTTTCCGGGGAAGACCCTCAGGTTATACCCCCCCCCCCTCCCATTAAATCATAATGCAATAATAGAGAATACATATCACAGTCATTAAATAGTAATAAAATCCTAAAAAATAATAATTTAAAATATATTCCAAAATTCTGATGGAGAAAAATAATCTATTTTACATTTTTTAGTCTATTAGCAGATTTTGTCACTCTAGGAATAAACGAATAAGAACCATTTCTAGTGGCGCTTGTATATACAATTTTATATTAGAATATCCTCACATTTTTGTATTTCGCGAGGGGTCTGGTTAAATCGATTTTTATTTTAACAACCGTAGATTGGCAATCAAAAGAATTGCACATCAATCCGTGGTACTTACACCATCATTGTTTGTGCATTACTTACGCGTTGTCAAATATCTCGTTATACTTTCATTTATTTTAATGTTTTAGTTTGGCAATATCTGGGTTTAGCTAAATGAGCAATTTGAATGATTGCGTAACCGATAGTAAAGTACAGTTATTGAACTTTCTAACGACGTAATAATTTGATATAAGTATTTACTTTTATAAAGCCGGGAACTGACCCATTATAGTTCAAGTTTAAATGTTTTTAAACGACCATTTATCATATATCGTACAGGACGGTACAAATTCGATGCTTTTACCCTTAATTAAATGTGGTATATTAATATTAAATTATCTAGGACTTGTTTCAAGCAATGATGCATTTTAAAAACAACTAATTGCGCTCCGTGAAACGAAGATTTATCTGAAGTTTTTTTACAGGTAATCAATATTATTAACAGGTAACAAGAAACGTATTTAACTGTTGAGTTCGGCGGGCGTAATTTCGGCGGGTAATCCCCTCGCCTACCTGCCAAAAGCAAAGTGCCCATCTAATGGCATAGGTAATTTCGGCCGAGGGTAATGTTTATGATAGGATTTTGGAATATACCTGAAAATAATAATCTAACCGAAAATAATATTTCCATTTCTTAGAAAAGTTAAAACATTTACATTCATCTTTCTTAATTTGATTTTCATTAGTTTAACAATGTCATTACCTAATTACAAAGTACCGGACCTTTTAATATTAAGATACTAACCACTTACTTTTTGGGCGACCAAGAGATAGAAAACATCTATATTACATGATGGCAGTTTCGATAGTAAAGAGTTCACGCGGTTGTGACTTGCTTATTGTAGAAAAATTTTCATTTTGTAAACAAGACGTATTAAAGAGTAGGGAAGTACGTTGATTTTGAAATATCAATACATATCGCACTAAGAAATGTTTTGTCAAAAACGAAAATAAATGGTTGTAGATTTCACTTACATCAAGCGTGGTACAGGAAAATTCAGTTTTTAGGGTTAAGTCAAATATATAAAGATAAAAACTCTGAAGAAAGTAAATGGCTTATTCACACTTTTGGGCTTACTTATTTAAAACCATCTGATGTTGAGGATTGTTTTATATTTGATTTAATGCCTTGCAAACCAAATAATGAACTGTTGGATAAATACGCAGACTATCTATTACAATATTATATAGCACCTGATTCCGATTTTCCACCAAATATATGGGCAGACGAAAATCCATCTATAAAACGAACCACAAACGCTTGTGAATCGTTCCATTCTACATTGAATTCTTCATTTTATTCTTGCCACCCTTCAATATTTATTTTTATAGAAAAGTTAAAATAATTCCAGATCGATTCATATTTAAAAATAAAAAGTTTAGATATGCTTCGGTCTGAAAAAATTTCTAGATTTAATTTTGTTAAAACTGTATCATATCAAAGTTCGTAAAAATGTAATGTATGTTTTTAGCTCTAGTTTTTAAGTAATAGTGTCTTTGATTTTGGTTTAATAAAGAATGTTATAGCAATTCTAGATCTTATTTTATTTTACCTGCTCCTTCCGGCCGAAAATACCTATACGATAAGAACGAACCCTGAAACCTCCGGTCGAAATTACATATCCCCTTTAGGTACCTGTCCTTTTTCCGGCCGAAATTACATCCGCCCGTTGAGTTATCTTGATATTTTTTTCTGGACAATGGTGTTCCTTCTTTCTGAAATAGAATCCTGAACTGTACATGATTCCAATGATTTTTCTAATAATTTCTTATTGAAACAGTATCTATCTTTGTCACTATCTGTTAAAACTAAATTTATAATAAGGAATACGAATTCAGGAATTTATTATAATTATTATGGATATTTAATCGTTGAATGTTTAAATGCTGGAATCTTCTCTATTTCATTTCTAATAGAAACTTTTTCAAAAGTTTCTGAAAAATTTGACTTTTAAAATAGTGCTTTGCCTATAGTCCAGGATCCGTAAGTAAGGTCGACTTTCACCCATCTGTTTAATGGATAAAAGTTTTTTTTTAATAAATAAAATATGTTTTCAAATATACCGCAAATGGGTTGCCTAAGAAAATACGGTCACGGCAATTTTTTACTTTTCTTTCTGTGTATAGATAATAAAAGTATAGGAATCATTATAAAAGTTACTTATGATGTCATTCTCTATTATTTTATTCCTATACAAGATTTCCCTAAAATGGACCTAATTCGAGATATTTGAGTAAAAGTGCAAATTTCGAATTTTGAAGATAACTCAAAAACGGACGGAGTGAAAAACACCAAATTTTAAATTTAAGCTTTAATCCACCCTGCGGTGAACTGATTAAAGTTTGGGCATAGTCGAAGCATCTGGGGAATACTTTACAGGGTGTAATTTTTTTACTTTTAGAAAATAAATAGTCTGGACCGTTTTTTTTTAGGCAACCCATGTGCGGTATATTTATGAACATATTTTATTTAATAAAAAGAAACGTTCATCCATTAAACAGATGGGTGAAGGTCGATATAACTTCGGATCTTAGACTACTACAAGTGCATGAATCGTTTCAGCTTTTATATTTTTTGAATTTCTAGAATATATTTATTTTTCTGTTTACCTTTAATGATCTAAATCGACTACTCAATGTAAATCCAATTTTTCTATTTAATTGTCTTTTGGATCTAAGAGCAAACCGGACCTCTGGCGAAAACCTAAATATTTTGAGAATTTTCTAATATACAATTGTATTTATATGCGCGCCACTGAGAATACTTCGCGATGGTATATGTTTCTAGAATATTGAGAGCTTTGAATGTGTAACGATAAGGCAGCACTCTTCAGAGAGGTTTGAGAAAAAAAAAAGGTGGAAAATCTCCCCATTTTTCCTAGATTAATGGTGCGTATTTTTTTTAATTCCTTTTAAAACTTATCAAAATAAATAGTTTTCAAAGGTTTACAAAAAGATCAAGGTTTGTTATTATTGGTATTTTTCAAAATTTTCCAAAAATCGGACCAAACTAAAGGCTAAAGTCGTATATTTTTTATTTGATTTTAAAAAATGTAAAGTAAATGAAAACAAGAAATTCTCTAAGCCATGTTTCACATAATATTTTGTAATTTGCCATCCAGTCCCTTTCCCTTTACCAATTTTGTTGTTTCCTGAAGTTTGATTCATCGTCTAGTTTATTTTTGTCCTCATATTATGCTCTTTTTTATCGAAATTTCAAAAGGATCCATAGAAACACTTTCTGTAATTTGTTCCTAATAGGATACCTATACCGCGCTATTTTTTTTCTTCAGTACCACTGAGTAGCTATTCTTAAATACGAGGAAATAGAAAACAGGTTTTTCCATTTTACCTGCAACGTACAAAATTTGTATTTCTGTTGTTTCATTCTTTACTCAAAATTTCTACTCCCAGAGATTCAAGAAGAGATGCTCAGGGCACTTATACCCTCTCCATCCTTAAATAAAAAATGGGGAATTGTATACTCTGTTAAAAAAGAAGTACCGTGGTATAACAGCGCACTTTCGCAGTCTAATACTGTTATGTACATTGAGCAAAGACCTTTAAAAGTACCATTCATCAAAGACGTAACTAAAATAATCAAGTGGCAAGATAGAGAGGAAGAATTCGTATTTTAAGAAACTTCAGAAATGCATTTAATTAATTTGCAGTTTTATATCTAGGCCTGAGTATAATCACTAGGTACTTACTTAATATTTATGGAATTCCTGTAAACTACGGTAATCGAATAGTATTTTAAAATACGCCGCACATTCACCAACACACTATCACACATATAATTTTTGAATTGGTATCCGAATTATAATGTTTAATGTTGTTTTCGAACACATACACACACGAGTTAGCTGTGCCACAACCGTGGTGAGAATGAACGATGAATGAATGCCGGCCAAGGACTTGCTAAAGTATGATGTTGCATGTAATAATAGAGGCCTTTAAATAAATAGATAATTATTTATCTTATATGTAGAATTTTAGAATATACTATACTACGCTAGTCTCCTTGTAAATAAATTGTGTATAACTGTGAAATATTGCGTGCAATTGGAACAATAATTACTCTATAATTAACAAAAAAAAAGCAACTATAAATACCGAAAAAAAAAAATATTGCCAAATATATTTTATTATAAAAAAGGAAACAATACAAAAAATATGTCCTCAGAGGTTTATTTTTCCATGGACCGAGCTTGTAATTATACGGGGTAACACTGAAAATTCAAGCTCAAAATCATACGAGCAAATTAATTAAATTGTTAAAAAAATACAATAGGGATATCTCTATCTGGGTTAACCCACGGCACTTAGACCTCACTAGGCCCATTGTACATCCTCCTAAGCAGATATGTACCTCCTATAGCTCGAGGGCCAGCCTATAGATTTAATTAAGTTGACAACGTCGCCAACAGGTGCTTCTTTTATATCAGCCTGAGTTGCCAATTCTCGCCGAACACAAATCTAATAAATGAGAGCGTCGGGCAATCGTAGAGGCTATGCTGGATGGTCTCATCCCTTGCAGAGTACGTATTCTGATAGCCCCATGATATCGAGATGCTTCTGTACTTGGCAATGACCAGTCAGAATTTTCAACATTCACGGAGAGATTTTGCAAGGCAGTTACTCCATTTGGATATTTTGCGTGCTCGAGAATGTGAATGTCTCGATGTCCATAACGACTTTTTCAATCCCAATTCAGAACTTAGACCCACCTCTTCAATTTTTCTATACCACGACTGTATCAAGTAGAAACGACATCCTCTAACAAAAGAGTGTCAAAAAAAATAGCACAAATTGCGTATGAATGGATATTTCAAAGTCTGCTGTAATTCTAAAAGACTCAAAGTCACCTCGTACTTTGAATACTTTGAATAACAGGAATGTAATGGCAAAACAATTTAGGACAATATTCAGAAGTTCCATCTAGATAAAATTCGGCACTTGTAGTCAAAAATTCAATAGGTATTATTTTTAGATGTAAACATAACGATATTGTTGGATTTGTCATTTTTTATTACAAAATCTTCATTTTTGTTGGTTTCTATTCGCCGTTCTTCTAAATATGTATGAGTTTCTTCAATGTACTTTTGGTAATGGTGGATTAAAGATCGTCTTGTGCTTTCTTCTTCAGCTTAGGTAACTCGTTATGGTTATGATCCAACATCGAGTTCACGATAACATTATCTTTGTCATCTATTTTAATGTAAGCTTTACACAATGTTTTCCTAGATGTACGTGACCACCGTTTAACTCTTCCATCCAATGTTTTTTGAAAAGAAAACTTTTGAGCGTTTATTACCGAAAACACTTTTCACTTTAGACCACTTGCAAACTCATTTTAATATTTAACTTGTATAAGCAGAAAAAAATATTGCAATCGGACCAGAAGTTGACATTATACATTTAATTAGTTGATCTGGATTAAAAGATTATATACCTGGGAGACAATTTTCCTTATGCAAATTCTGACCTTTTAGAAGATGGGAGTCAACTAGTTTTTACCGATAATTATTATTGACTATTTGTGGCAAATGGTGTATATAATGCCATCCTTCTTCCTTTAACAGATACAGACCTCACGGGTAAAAAATAAACGAAAAATAATTTGATTTATAAATATCTTTTGCCAGTCTACAGTATTTCCCCATAGCATAGTTTATTGCTAAAGAATCAGTTAGCTCACTCGGACCAGTTGGATGTTCCAAAATAACATCCACTCCAAGGATACAAATTCAGGATGCGCAGAAGACTGCTGTTTGAATATAAGCGGTTGTCATATATTGTATTGGTTATGATTTGATTCTGTATGCGCCAGGGATACAAATCCGAGTTGCGCAGTGTATAAACAGGAACATTGAGATCAAAAGTGCCGACGCAGAGTGAGCGAACTGATTCTTTAGCTATAAACTGTGCCCATAGTAGTATCCCATACGATAACTATAAAAAAAGGCCCATATAGGCCGTTCTACATACTTTATTTTTAGTGCACCACGATAATTTTTTAAGAAGTATAAATAATTCACTTGAGAGTTTTTTTAATAGACCTTCAATCTGTTGTTTCCAATCGATTTTGTTATCTAATGTGCGGTGTTCTATTGGTTAAAAAAATCGATATATGCTTAGCGAGATTTTAAAAATTGATGATTAAACCGTTACATCACTATTATTTATTATCTATCTCTAACTGATAACGAATATACACGGTTTTGAATTTATTAAAAACTTTCAATTATTTTTCAATTAGTTGCGTAACCTTTATCAAAGTAAAACGCTATGTCATCTCTAGTATTTAATTTAGATAATTTTCATACACAGAATGTCCTAATACTGTTAACTTAAGCGTTACCCATTTATGGGACAATTAACTTCAGTAAGTTAAAAAGAAGAAGGTTAAATTTTAATATAATAATTATTGTAGATTAAATACAACTTAAACTGATTATTATATTTTTATTCGACGTCTACCACTTCTTCAACTATTAGAGTACTGTTCAGCTGTTGTCTAGGCTTTACAACTCATTGTTTTGTTGAAGTATAATTGCTGTGTCAAAATTAATTTTTAATAATTTCTATATTCTATTATAAAGCTTAACAATCGGTGAGAAATGTCAAGGATAAAATTATTTTGTTTATACAGTCTGTTCGCTATACTTACGCGGGTTTCGGATTAACAAAATTATGCAAATTAGTCATTAACAACCAGTTCCAATAAGGATATATGGTAGATGCGCCTGTGGTACTTGCGGCCACTACCTAAAATTGTGGCATTTGCACCCTATCCTACTTTTGGAGCTTACCTGCTTTTTAAGAAGGGTCAAGTTTAGACATGGGTAACGCACTAAAATTCTTTGCGTTGATACACTAACTCCGGCGCACTCTATTGCGCCAACTCATTGCGTTAACGCAATTGCGTTATTGCGTCACATCACTGCCTGCGCCGAATGAAATCGATGCACCTCGGTGTATCGCATGATACCGGATACCGGTGTTATTCAGCGCGGGCTGTCCTTTTATAAGGGTCAAACCGTGTTCAAGATAATATCGCAATTGGGAATTTACCTAATTTTTTTTTTATTATATGTTTAAAAATAAACGAAAATATGACAGTGTAATGCACCCATTTTTTTATTTCATTGTGTTCGGATTTTACAAAGAATACAAAAATTCCAATTTATATAAAAAGGATATAACTTTTCTATACTAGTAGCTAATCAAAATGGGAAGAACTAAAAACTGACAGTGTACAAGGTTAAAATCTATAAAATTCGACCTACAATCCTACAAATGATGTGACATGTTGCAAAGAACATAATTACTTGATAGATTTTGGGTAATCTGTATTACGAGTTGCATCAATTACGTAAATTACAATTCTCAACTCGTCACGGAAAATGGAATCAGTGCCTGGCGCATGACGCATCAACAACTCGCGATCCTTTCGACTCAGTATCGAAAATTGCGTTGCGCTGATACAGTAACAGTTGGTGTATCAACGCTCGTAACGCATACAACTGCGTTAACGCAATAACGCAACGCAGCGCTGCGTTACCCATGTCTAGTCAAGTTAGTGGCAGTTGCGTCCTGTTTTATTGGTAGTTAGGTAGTAGGTAAACTTAAAATGCTTGCCATAAATTTTATTATTTTAACTATAGTGAGTCACTGGAAGATGGGCTATAACTACCCCAAAAAAGTTTCTTATTATGTATTTCTTTTATTTTCTTGTATCTCTGATTAAGAGTTATTAGCGGTCGTATCTCCGAATATCGTGAAGAATAATTAAAAAAAAAAACATACAAAAACTGGGTGATTTTTATTGCAAGTGGCACACCTTTTCATCACATCCTTAATTTCCATATGTTACTCTTCTCCCTTCTGTCACTCTAACTAATATAATTTAAATAGGGAAAGTACCAAGTATGACACATCATCGAAAAGATCATTGACCTATACACCTATACACCTGTTTAATGAGATTAATGGTAAAACCCTCGTAAAATCTTTTAAATAAAATCCAGGAAACAATTATTTTAGTATATGTTTAATAAAATTAATAGTAAAACTCTGAAAATAAAATCCATGAAACAACTATTGTTAATACCTGTTAAATGAGATTAAGGGTAAAAACCCTTAAATATTTTATAAAAATATACATAGTAATAGATATAATGTATTTAAACACATTTTCATTATCATTGTTTAATAGTTTAAGTTTACTTACCTGCTTGATCTTGCTCTTTTATTTATTCTACCTACTTGGATACAAACAGGGCGCAAGTGCCACTATCTTGACCGTTCTTAAAAAACAAGTATGCTCGAAAATGGTACCCGAGCGCAAGTGGCACACTTTTCGTGGAAAGCGCAAATGCCACGGGCGCATCTACCAGGAACTCTTCCAATAAGCCTCTTCCCAAGAAATTAGGTAAAATTGCCCTAATGGTCAGATTTAAATTAAAATAACATTAGGATGGGTACTAAATTTGTTACAAATATTGCAGTTGAATTGATTCTTTGCAAGTGTTGACATTGCATGTATATTGTAAATTTAGTGGAAATTTTAAAAATGCCTAGACGTGTGTTAGATGTAGATAGTCTAATTTGTAGTGCACATAAGTATTTTACGGATGAAAAAGAAAATGGCGGTCCTTTAAAATCGGTAATGTCTGTACAACAACGCGTATGCGATGCTCTAGGAATTAGTGAAACCAAATTAAGAGGAGTATTACAAAATCACAATAGTGAACTGCCGAAAGAAGATCACCGCAAAACTCGCCCATCATCGAAAACGAAAGATATTCCAGATGGAAAGAAATTTGAAATTCGTGATACCATTTATCGAATGAGGGCCAACAAGGAACATGTGACCTTAAATACAATTCTCTCGAAATTAATAGATAGAAAATTTGACGACATTGACAGAACAAGTCTAT